TGGGGTCAGATGACCCCAGCCAGATGCCTATCCAGCCTTCTCTTAAAGACCCCCAAAGTAGGGGAGAGCACCACCTCCCTTGGAAGCCCATTCCAAATTCTGGCCACCCTTAACATGAAGAAATTTTTCCTGGTATCTAGCCTAAATCTGCTCTCTCTCAGTTTGTGACCATTGCTCCTTGTAACCCCAAGAGGTGCCCTGGTGAACAGAGCATCTCCAATCCCTTGCTGTGTCCCCCTAATTACTTTGTAGGCGGCCACAAGATCACCTCTCAGCCTTCTCTTGCAGAGATTGAAGAGGTCCAGGTCCCTCAGTCTCTCCTGGAAGCCTCTAACCATACGAGTGGCCTTCCTTTAGACCCTCTTGAGTCTATCAACATCCTTCTTGAAGTACGGCGCCCAAAACTGGATGCAGTACTCCAACTGTGATCTGACCAACGCCGCATGGAGGGGAAGTATCACATCCTTGGATCTATTTGTCATGCATCTGCTGATGCATGATAAAGTGCAGTTAGCTTTGCTGATGACTCAGCCGGCCAGGCATCAGCACAGCACTGGAGGTCGCAGTTTTGACTGGCATGGTTTCCTCAAATTTAAGTTTTCTCCTTAAGCTTTTATACCTCTTCTGTATATTCCATATATGATCATGCTGTAGATCCTCACCAATTAATTACCTTTTAAAATCAACATGTCACCCTGAGCCTTAACTGACTTCCCACCTACGATCTGTGGGCTTGCTGTGCTTCTCTGTTCTGTCTTATTTTTCTGTGTTCTGCAGCTATCTCCATTTTGTTTTGCCTGCAACAGTTGTTTCCAATGCCTCTGTGCTCATTGCTTTTAGCTAATGGTGTCCCTTAAAGAAAATGACACCCGTTATGTGAAGGCAGCTTGCAGGCCTATAAGTGGGTCCCAGTAATTGGCAGATGGCCCTCTGCACCCGGGACAGCCCCTTTCCTGCCCTGCAGAGGTGACATGGGTAAGAAGATTAGCTCTTTCACCCCTGGTAGTGTCACTACTAGAGTCCCAACCCTTTAAGCAGCAACAGGAATTCCCTCACCCTACCCCTAGCCCCCTACACCCTGTGCCAGCCCACTACACCCATTCTGTTGATTGGTAGGGCAGGCAGGACAGGGGGTGGGTAAGGGTGAGGAAATTTCTGCCACCACTTGAATAGTCTGAGAATTCCCTGGGACTGTTCAAGGGACAGTGCAAGTGCTGCCACCCCTTAAAGAGTCCCAGAGAGACCTGGGAATGTTTAAGGGGTTGGGAGCATTGACGTTCCAGGGATTTTCAAGTGAGGATGGCAGCAAGGCTCTCTAACAGCTTATGGGAAGGCTGTACTCTCCCTCCAGTACACTCCCTCCCTCCCCCTTGGGAGACCAGGGGATCCCTATATCACCAAGTGTAAGTGTACAGGCATTGTATTTGGTGCTAGAAAACTTCACCCTCTGGCAAATTTGCTGTTTAACCAGCTAACAGTTTGTGGTGGCATCTCTGTGTTTTTCCCACCCCAAACTGCTTGGATACCTCTACACTTACTTTTTGTGCTAAGAAAAGGGCATATTTCCTTACACAGATGTAACACCTGTCTGTGGCCTGAGGTGAATGTAGAAGTAGATGTCTGACTTCAAATAAGGATCTGCAAGTCTTAAGAATTTGAGACCTGCTCCCTCAGTAGGAAGGCTAAGGTCTTACTGGCTGTTTCATGACCAAATGAGGTTAAGTTCAGCACAGCCAAAGATTTGTTTTTTCTCCTTAATAAAAGCACATTAAAACCAAAGTCTATTTCAGCTAATAGTAATAACAGTGCTCTTGGGGTTTTTGAGCACCTGGTATTTTTAAATTCAAATATTTACAGAATTGTAATGTGATGGATGAGTTAATGAGAGAAGTGTCTGCAGTCTGTTGATTTTTGTGATGTTTTTCTTTTGTTATGTGGAATAAAGCCCATGGTTTTGGAGCATAAGCACAATGAACTGCTTCTACGGTTATGGAACAACTTGACTTTTCTTTGACGTTCTAACTATTGGCCGAAGGCTCTCCTTTGCGTAGTAGAGATGATTACTTAATCTCTATTATAGGCCATGAGTAAATAAATACAGTAAGGGGAGAAATGTTAGTCCTGCAGAACTCAACAGGAGTTTTTGACCCACCTCAGACGCATCCACTGGCACAAAAGCAATGTATGTATTAATGGGAAAGATACAAGCAGCAAATTAAAAAGAACATTGCAGGGACCAAAAATAC